TAGTACTTGAAATACCACTAGCCCATCTGGTCACTTAGCAGTGCTGTGGGTAGCAGAGTTAAAGAGGAAGTGAATATGGACCTTAGATTTGTACAGACTCAAGTTCAAATCCCAGTTCTCTGAATCTTAGCCTCTAGTTTTGGTCAAGTTACCTAACCTCTCTCAGATTCCATATTTTTAAAATGATGATAAAAATACCTAGTTTAAAAATTTGTATGGAAGGTAAACAAGATTTCATGTTTAAAAAATTCTGTCACAAGCACTACTGCATTGTAGGCTTTCATTAAATAATTGTTTATTTTTACTTTTCCCATAAGTGTCCTCTATTGTCCCTCTAATATTTTCTCTAAATTGCTGAAAGGAAGTTGCTCTGTGAAAAGATTTGGTAATTTAGAACTAAATATATTCCACCAATTGTCATATACTAGTCATCCTTAACAATTCTGTTTCCACTAGATTCAAACTCAGGCTTCTATTCTTTTCATTTTAATTCCAAGATATACTATATGCAAACGAAGATAAATAATCAGTTGGTTGAATTCTTTTTCTTAAAAACTATATTTAAATTGGGGCTGGCACTGTGGTGCAGTGGGTTAACGCCCTGGCCAGAAGTGCCAGCATCCCATATGGGCACTGGTTCTAGTCCTGGCTGCTCCACTTCCAATCCAGCTCTCTGCTATGGCCTGGGAAAGCAGCAGTAGAAGATGGCCCAAGTCCTTGGGCCCCTGCACCGCATGGGAGACTCAGAAGAAGCTCCTGGCTCCTGACTTTGGATGGGCACAGCTTCAGCCGTTGTGGCCAATTGGGGAGTGAGCCATTGGATGGTAGACCTCTCTCTCTCTACCTCTCCTCTCTCTGTGTAACTCTGACTTTCAAATAAATAAGTAAACCTTTATAAAAAAAACTAATTTAAATTAAAATAAGAAAATTCTTTATATTGAGCAAAACCACATATCCAATGTTAGTATGGATAACTATATGAATTATTTACCTCAAAACATGTCTCTAGCATAATTTATTGTATCATTTAGTTCTTCATTTTGAACTTTATTTTGAACACTTCAGCTAGAAGTAAAACCTCAGAGTTAATTTTCTTCATGGAACTCACAATGCAAACAGTTGGGCAGGCATTTGGTGTTCACATCCAACATGAAAGTACCTGGTTCAAGTCTCAACTCCTCTGCTTTGGATCCAAATTCCTGATAACATACACCCTGAGAAACAGCAGATGATGCTTCAAGTACTTGGGTCCATGGGACTCACATTGGAGACCCAGACTGGGTTCCAGTCACCTGGCTTCAGCCTAGCCTAGCCCTGGCTGTTGTTGGCGTTTGGAGGGTGAATCAGTGGGTAGAAGAGCTATTGCTCTCCATCACTGTCTCTCTCTTTCTCTCTCTGTGTGTATATGAGTGTATGTCGCTCTGCATTTCAAATAAAGTGAGAATAAACCTTCAAAAAGATCTTACAAAGAAAGGAAATAATGTAGAAAAGGGACTGTCCCCATACTCATAAACTAAAATTAAATTGTTCTAAGAAGAAATATATTCTATATATTAATGTTTGCAAGAATTCCAGTGAGACAAAATTGACCTGTATATCTATTATCTTATGAAGTTAAAAAAAATTGTTTCTGTATTTCTCCTAACATATACATTGTGCTATGAGGGAAAAAAATCATCTTTCTTCACTGACTGTAAACAATTGTAAATATTGTGACAAACAAAAGAAAGAAAATATCCATCTGGCTCTGTCCTTTGGAGAAGTACATATGCAAAAGTAAAATGTCACTAGTGTTTATTGTATGTAAAGTGACTATAGTTAAGTCTGTAAATTAAATGTATTCTTAAATGTCTATTATTTACCTAGTAGACTACACGTTTGCTATATCTGTTAATAACTTGTTAGAATAGAGTCCTATATAAATGGAAATTTCAAAATCATGCAACCAGCAAAACATCTACATTGACTCCTCAAGAGATAATATGATTTATGTAACCGTACATTTACATATTACAAAATGGTATATTTTGATTGCCTAAAGTAAAAATAACCTTCAGCAAATTTGTTTTGTCTTTCTCTCTTATCTTGTATTAAACAGAAGAAATGCATCTGGGACCAGATATAAGACAAAATGCCTTTTCTTGCTAAAGATGTATCTAAACATTTTGGAAAATGAAAATAAGTTCTTAGGAAATTAAGTTGCTGGACAATTTGAAAACAATGAGCTTTAAGAATTGCTAATTCATTATTATGCTTTTTCTCATTTTACGTCATTACAAAAAGAAAGCTTATCTGAAACACTCAATTGTAAAGAAACAAAGTTGGGGCTTAAAGTTTGGCTATACATGGGTTATAATCTATACATCTTGGACTGCAACCTATGCTCTCACAAGAGATATTTTTAATTTTGGTATTTGTGTTTTTTCACCCAAAATAAGCAGACAACAATGTCTATTTTAGAAAAATTGTGTTAGGGCAAAATAAAATCAACATGTATAGCTTCTAATGAATATTACACACATAGATCTAAATTTAAGTTTGTATACATACACATGTACGCATGTGCACGAATCCATGTATAGTACAGAAATATAAATCCTGGGGCTGGTGTTGTGGTGTAGTGAGTAAAGCTGCTACCTATGTTGCTGGCATTCCCTATTGGCACTGTTTCCAATCCCAGCTTCTCCACTTCCGATCCAGCTCCCTGCTAATGCATCTGTGAAAGCAGTGGAGGATGGCTCAAGTGCCTGGGCCTCGGTACCCACATGGGAGACCTAGAAGAAGCTCCTGACTCCTAGCTTCTGTCTGGCTCAGTCCTGGCCATTGCAACCATTTGGGGAGTGAACCAGTAGATGGAAAATCTCTCTGTGCCTCTCCCTCTCTCTCTCTCTCTCTCTGTAAATGACTTTCAAATTAAGAAAATCTTTTAATAAAAGAAATATAAAACCTAGGGTTTTTTTGAAAATGCTGATTCTAATTTGATAGGTCATCTCTTTCCATCTTTTTTTTCTTTTAAGAGATTGAAAGAGACAGACAGAGAAGACTGTTATATGTTGGATCACTCTCCAAATGCCCACAGTAGCCAGAGCCCAACTGGGACCAAAGCTGAGAGCCAGGAACTCAAATCAGGTCACTCACATGGAGTGCAGGACTCCAATTACTTGAGCCAACAATGCAGCCTCCAAGGCTCTGCAGTAGTAGGAAACTGGAATCAGAAGTTGGAGTCATGGATTGAACTCAGACACTCCAATAAGAGATGCAATTCCAATTGGCATGTTAACCACCAGGCCAAATGCCTACCCTAGATGGTGTATTTCCAAACAATTCTCAGATAACAGTGATTCAGGAAGCATATTTTGCATAACAATGCTGTAAATGACTAATAACTGTTGATCATTCCTTTGTGACAAAGTTAATTGACACAAAGAGTAAAATTCATGTAAATAAAAGAGTGTTTCAGAGGAAATTTAAATATTGATAGGTAGAACTATGGCCTCCCTTAAAAATAGGCAAAAGATCAGAATCAAAGAGAAATCTGAAGATGCCCGATTGCTGGCCTTGGAGATGGGTGAAAGGGTCATGAGACAAGGAATGCAGGCAGCCTGCAGAAGATGGAAAAGTCAAGAGAACAGATTCTCCCCTGGAGCCTCCAGAAATGAATGCAGCTCTGCTGACGCCACCCATCTAGTCCTGTGAGACTCATCTCAGACTTCTGACCTCCAGGACGCTAGAATGATAGCCATGTCTTGCTTTAAACCACTAAACCCGTAGTAATTTGTTACAGTGGAAACAGAAAATTTAGAAGTGATAGTACAAACTAACCATTGAAGAAGTGGTAGCAGAAGATCTTATGTGCACAACATAAATAGAAATATCTTTATGGATATTCCCAGTTAAAACCAATTTTTGTTACTGTTACTATTATTACCTTGATATTTAAGACTAAGGTATAATTTTAGAATAATAATAATAATGGCTTCCTTGACTAAATCTTATTACATAGCAACTAGTAAGTTGGACACGGTATATCAATTATCTAGCTCTTACTATAATCATATGAAATTTTGAGGACCATCTTACCATCAAGAAAGCAGAAAATAGAGCTTTATAACTTTGTATGGGGCCAGCATTGTGGTGTAGCAGGTAAAGCCACCACCTGTAACACCAACATCCCATATGTACACCAGTTCAAGTCCCAGCTGCTCCACTTCTGAACCAGCTCCCTTCTGGTGTACCTGGGAAGGCAACAGAAGATGGACCAAGTGCTTGGACCACTGTGCCCATGTGGGAGACCTGGAAGAAGCTCCTGGCTCTTGGCTTCAGATGGCCCAGCCCCAACTGTAAGCCATATGGTGGATTGAGCCAACAGAAGGAGGATCTCTCCCTCTTTCTGTCTCCATAGCCCTGCCTTCCAAATAAATAAATAAATCTTAAAAAAAAAAAAAAAACTTTTAAAGGGCAGTGCAGAAACCCAAGTTGGCTAACACCACAATCTTGTCTGCTCTGTTCTCAGAATAATGACTGCTGACACTATTTGATAATGCAGAGTACACAATGTAAAAGTTGCACTAATTGAGGAATATTATAAAACCTATCTTGGAAAAAAGCCAAAAAGGTCCTTTAGCCCAGGTAGCAAATACATATAAAATATTTTTCAATATTTAAATAACTAAATTTTATATAGTCTTATCTTTTCTTTGCAAATGCTTACTTTCTGTCATTTCATTGTAAACTCAGAGCATTAGCCTGCTTCTTTCATGGTCTTTTACTTCAACTTAAAAATTCAAAGAATACTTGGAAATAACCTTGGTTACATAGTAATATAGCAATAAATCATCATATATTGACTGCTTGATACACAGACAGATGTCTTGCCCTAATGTTTGCTGAGATTTTCAGTAATAAAGTTAGAACAATTTTGGAAATGTAATCAGTAACCAACAATAACAAAGAGTCCCTTCAATTAATAACCTGAGACTGTCAAATAGAGGAATTATTACCTGTGGCAACGTGTTGTCCCATTCCAAATATGGCATAAATGACGGCAGGAAATAGAGACCCATATAAACCAAACACTGGGTGCACAGATGAGAGAATAGCAAAGGCCAACCCTGTGAAGAAGAACAGAATAATTAGACCCATCTTATAATTCCAAGATATAGTACATTACACAATAGGATAGATACTGGTTTATTTAAAGAGTAAATGAAACACAACTTAATGAGTCAACTTGCTCAATAAAAGACAAGCAGTACTGTTCTAAATAGGAGAAAATTCACTTAACAATTGATATTTATATTTAAATTCCAAAATCTATCCTTTTAGGGTTACTTTTTCCCTTGATTGCAGAAATATCTACAAGACAACAGCAGTAACAATGGTTCACAGTGTCTTCCTAGTAAAAGGTAGGTTTCATTTCAGAGCAAAATATCTCCAGGAAAACATATTTTAGAAGCATTCGCACATGTACCATTTTATTTGCACAATAGCATCTGTGAAATAGGCAGAAGTGGTAGCTTAACTATTGACAGGTGAGAAGCCTTACATGGAATGCAGATTAGAATTAGGGCAAAAAGGACAAAGTCAAAGTTGGCTGGTTGGCCAGACCACTTGGGACTGTGTATCACAGTAGCAGGCCAGTGTACACACCTACAGAGTCCCAGACTGCGTATCAGGGACAGTTTCTTAGAGTGGAAAAGTAATTGACTTTGGTTATCTAAACAATAAGGAATAATTCCTAAATATTAATTCTTACTCCCCATACATACTACAGCCTACACAGTTTGTATATTATATACACATAGAAAATATTCCTAATCATGTCTAAATGACCACTAGCGGTTTAGATGTAAATAAAATATAAATCACAAGGGCCAGCACTGTGGTGCAGTGGGTTAAAGCCCTGGCCTGCAGCACCAGCATCCCTTTTGGGCACCAGTTCAAGTCCCAGCTGCTCCACTTCCTTTTCAGCTCCCTGCTAATGCTCCTGGGAAAACAGCAGCCATTTTGGGGAGTGAATCAGCGGATGGAAGACCTCTCTCTCTCTTTGTCTCTACCTCTCTCTGTAACTCTGTCTTTCAAATAAATAAAATAAATCTTTAAAAAATGAATCCCTGTAAGTTCATTAAAATTATTTTATTTGTAGTTGGTCCTTGAGCTTAGAAAGCTACTTGCACTAGGTTCTGATAAATCCATTGAAGTCTATCAATTTAGTGCTAGATATTTGCTTCAGCATAAAGGACTTTACAAGTCACACAGAGACCTGAGGAAGGAGAGGACATTAGCATCTAGAGTGCCTGGAGGATTTGGAGCATGGCAGTCTTGTACCAATAGCAAATCTTACCACTTTAGATTAATTTTAATTTTACTCTTAAAAATAGACTCTGTAGTCATACACCAAATATTTTTCAAGGAACACAAACATTTTAGTTGTATTAAAATACATGAAAAGGTTACCAGTGGCCATCCTCTTCTTTTTTTTTTTTTTTTTTTCAGGCAGAGTGGACAATGAGAGAGAGAGAGAGACAGAGAGAAAGGTCTTCCTTTGCCGATGGTTCACCCTCCAATGGCCGCCGCGGCCGGCGCGCTGCGGCCGGCGCACCGCGCTGATCCGACGGCAGGAGCCAGGAGCCAGGTGCTTTTCCTGGTCTCCCATGGGGTGCAGGGCCCAAGCACCTGGGCCATCCTCCACTGCACTCCCTGGCCACAGCAGAGAGCTGGCCTGGAAGAGGGGCAACCGGGACAGAATCCGGCGCTCTGACCTGGACTAGAACCCGGTGTGCCGGCGCCGCAAGGCGGAGGATTAGCCTAGTGAGCCGTGGCGCCGGCCTTCTTGTCTATTTTTCATAAGGAGTTACCTGGTAAAAATTATCTACCAACAGATAAGAATGAAGAGCAAGAAACAACATGGCCCACATTTTCCAAGAGTATCCAGATCTGCTAAAGAGGTAGAGAATTTGGGAAAGAGAATGAAGCAAATTTAACAAAAGCATCTGGGATGAGTCATGTGGACACAGAATTCTGGTAAGTTTCAATACTTACAGGATTGGAATTGACCACAAGAAAGCCCCACTTGGCTACATTTGTACTCTACTTGCAATAGCAGGTGTTCATTCAAAACTAGAAGCAGCCAGATCTTTGGATCTTGCCCTAGGAATGGCTACTTCCTGTTTCGCTGCCTGCTTTATTACAATAATATTCTTCTTTCACATATATTTTATCCCAACGAAAATTCATAACAAAATTAGCTCACAACTTGAATCTCTTTGAAACTTACATTTCTATCTATCCTCAGAGAACGGCAGTCATATCTACCTGCATTGGCTCTGGTAGGGCCTGCAGCAACCTGAGAGACTGGAAGGAATGGTGATAGTACACAGAGCTTCTCCTCCAGAGCCAGGAAAAGCTGACTTCTCAGTCCTGGGGTACCTCAGCTGCTTGGCCTCTGTTCACAGAGACAGAATCTCCTATGCCTTCTATAACTTCTTTGTCCTACTTGAGAGATCCTAATGGCCGATGTGTATCAGTATTGTATTGAGTGAACACAAACTCTATGTAAAACTAATTTGATAGGTTTCAAAGTGACCAAAGGAAAAGAAATCAAACTGAATAATCTAACGACTTCCCACCAGGCTCTACTTGTTAAAGGCTCCACCTCACTTCCTAGCATTGCCACCCTGAGGACCAAGCTTCTCACACACGATAACTCGAAGAACAAACCACATACAAACCATAACACTTCCTATCCCTTATGGCAGGTACTGTTGGCTTACAGGAACAAATGACCCATGAGTGGGAGAGGGATGATTATCCAAGGTCACGTGGGTAAGAAACGCCACCACAATGAGATATCACACAAAAGACAAAAGATAGTGTTTTTTTAAAGTTATTTATTATTATTTATTTATTTATTTATTTGAAAGAGTTACAGAGATGGGGAGAGAGAGAGAGAGAGGTCTTCCATTAATGGTTCACTCCCCAGATGGCCGCAAAGGCTGGAGCTGTGTCAATTCAAAGCCAGGAGCCAGGAGATTCTTCCAGGTCTCCCACGTGGGCACAGGGGCCCAAGGACTTGGGCCATCTTTTACTGCTATCCCAGGCCATAGCAGACGGCTGGATTGGAAGAGGAGCAGTGGGACTAGAACCAGTGTCCATATGGGATGCCAGTGCTTCAGGCCAGGGCTTTAACTTGCTGCGCAACAGTGCCAGTCCCAAACTGTGTATTTTCTTAAAAAATCTAGAAATAGAACTGCTGTATGATCCAGCAATCTTGGTATTGAGTGTATATACAAAGGATATGAAATTATCACTTCAAAAAGATATTTATACTCTCATGTTCATTGCAACATTATGATTTAGGTCCCAGAAAACCTGGATCTGCCCCTGGGATCCAGTGTAATTTGTACTAAAACTAATAAGAAAACAAATAAGTTCAGCTTTTCATGATTCCATGTCCCCTTTGGCATGACATCTTTTTGTCTCTTCTCTTTGGAAACAGGATTTTTCAAAGACCACATCATATTTCCTGGTCTTCACTCTACTCATATTCTTCCTTTCATGGGCTCCTGTTTGATTTCCATATCTGCTGTATAAGAAAGTGCTGTTTCTAGGGCCACCAGTGACCTCTCTATTGTGAAGTTCAGTTAACATTTCTGTTGCTTATAAAAAGTGCCATGTCTGTAGAATTGGTACAGATTCTTGAACTTTCCTTCTATATCTCTCTATATCTGGTAATTATTCCATTCCTAAAATTTTGGTGTTGACCAGGCTTTCAACCAGCTGAGAATAGACTTTTAATAGTTCTCACCGCAATAAAAATGATAAGTGAGGTAATGAATATGTTGATTAGCTTCATTTAGCCATTTCATAATAGATATGTATATGAAACATGTTGTACACTACAAATATATACAATTTTGTCAACTATATAGCAATAGTAATAAATCAATGACCAAGACAACCATTTTAAGATGAAAAGAATCCCTCCAAAACGTAAATGCTAAGAAGCTGACAAATCCATGACCAATGGAAAAAATAAACATAATACTTTTACTAATTTTCTGATACACCTCTATAATATGTTTCCTCTGTCACAGTCTACATCATGGTCTGCATTGGGATCTTGGTCCTCAAAAACCTATGTTAATTTTTAATGGATCAATGTTAATGACTAGTAGATGATGGAGATATGTTACCTGAGAGGTAGGCAGAGTGGGGGATCCTTAGATCACTGGCTGTGTCTTTAGAAGGTAGTTCTTCTGAAAGGGTTGGTTACAAAACTGACTCAGGCCTAGCTGCTCTCTCTGCTTCCTGGTATACCATGTGGTCACTCTCATGCATTCTGTCATTCCCTGCCAGTGTCAGATGCCAGAGGAATGACACTTCCCAATCTTGGACTGTGAACCTCCCAAAATGCAAGCCAAAATTAATCTTCCTCTTAAGTGACTTTTCTCGGATTTTTTTATGCAGTGATGAAAATATTCTCCTACAATTTTAGACTGTATATTACTTAAATATTTCTAATGATCTACAACATATTCTATATAGAGAACAGAAATGTAATTTGTCTTTTTGAAAATCAAATATTTGCATCATTTAAAGTATTCTTGATCTCATCTATTTTATCTCAGCAGAGCCTCTGTCAGATTTCATGTGGTGCAATTTGACAACTCCTCTGCTTTCTGCAATATGAGGGCATCCCTGTTGACACCTGCTGAGAGATTGTTTTAATGCCCAGACTCATGCATTCCAACTCAGAGGATCACTCTAAGGGTGAAACTTTGGCCAGTAAGAAAGTGAGCTAGTGAATAGATGTTTGTTCTTTTCTTCCCATTGAAATATGGATGGAGGTGCAGTTGATAACTTCTTGAGGGTGTGGTCCCAATGACATTGCAATTGCCACTGTTAGGGGTAGTCAGCCCCATAATTGGAGTCTTCTCACCATTTCTCCCTTCTTGTCCCTCACTTCTTCCCTGTGGGCTTCTATACCCTCCTGATAAGTGCATATACCCTCTGCCACTAATTCTTGCAGAATTGGATTAAGATAGGATTGCCTATTTAAGTTTGTTTTAAAAAGTGGTATATCAGAACATTTTACATTTATAATTAGTTA